CCTGTTGACCCACCTGCATAAGAGTCCTCACGTTGAAAGCCCCAGATTGAGAGGTTGACGTGGCTTCGGAATCCGCACTGTATTTACAGGAAAACTAGTTATAGTGCTATTTGGCAGACCTTTGGCGAGTGACGACCAAGTTGTCTGAGGGAATGTTACGGGTCGGAAGAAGCGGTAAAGGGATAGGGTTGGGAACGGAAGACAAAGAGTTAAACAAAGGTTGGGACGTCTGAGCAGTAGCCCACTTATCACCACCCACCCCGCTCGATGCAATGGGCAGCGCGGTCTTGATTATCCTGCACCACGACCGATGCAGTATAAAATTATTTTTTGATTGTGTTCATGGGAGCTTTATGGACGGGTACTGCCAGGGTGTTCAGCCACTAAGCAGGAGAACGATTAGGGTTCTCAACCAAAGCCTTTAGTTCCGACAAGAACCAAATCGCAAGGTAGAGGTTAAGGCGGATTGCAGGCCCATTAGCTTGGATCAATTATTCCTCCAACACGTTTTATCGACTGAGACGCCTACTCAAGTCAAATTCCCAACCTGGAGCACCGGGAAACTGGACTTTGTCTGACCTCTACCCATTGACCTTCCAGGCATGATTAGATCTTTGGCTAGACAAAAGCCATACTGTGTAGCTCGTTGGGTCATAGAGGTGAACAAGACATCACACCACGTCAAGGTGCAATCTCGTCATGATGGTTGATAAAACGAGCTACCTTAATCAGAGATCATAATGCGTTGTAAGGATAAATTCACAAAAAATGATTTCATCACTCCAGTCATATTCTGTTTGACCACACCTCGAGGAAACTATACCTTTTCAGTTTGAGGTGTCCGTGATTCAATTTAAGATGTCACAATATGAATTTACGATGTCCGAGTAACAATTTAAGATGTCATGTTACTGTTTTCACTCTGTACTGTGCAAGGTACTATCCACATAGCAACATGACATCTCAAATTGTTACTCGGACATCGTAAATTCATATTGTGACATCTTAAATTGGATTTCGGACATCTTAAACTGAAAAAGTCAACGTCTTGTTCAGGTCCATTCCGAATCACATAACGAGCACCAAACTCCGCGAGAGATTTGGTATTGGAAACTGGTTCTGGAGCAGTCTTGATTCAGGGGTGATAATGTATTCAGTTACCACTGAACGCCTTGACTTCCAAACCAACTTTGGTAATGATCAAAAACTCAGGAAATGTATAGAAAAAAATCTCGCGTGTTTTGTATCAAAAGAGAGCATATTAATAATAGCAAGTTTGATAGTAAATTGATTGTAGGCACGCATAAACTTGTGAACACCCGCGCGCACAGACCAACAAGCAATGCTACGCCACTTGAGAATAAGAGTATTCCACAATGATTCTGGAGCAGCGTTGACAGGGTTGTTGTGCTGTGTAATCAACGCAGCAATTAGCTAAGAGATTGTGTGTATGTTTGTGTTGAAATGGTCCAGAAATTACATTTGTGTTTGATGCATCAGAGACATAACGACAGAATCAACGATATCGCACACGGATTGAATCACCTGAGCATGAAAAGGGGCAGAGAATAGGACGATGTTGAGCGATGAGATTATCCAACCCTTGCAAAAGACAGAACCAAAAAGTCAGCAGCAAATGAACCGATGCAATTTAATTTAAGTTTCCCAATCAAGAATTTGGAAAACAGTGTAGCTAAGTCGAAAATGCTTTGAAAAGATCAAAACGTTGAAGTCTCTATTCAAACATGAAAATTGCTGTGAAGATACAATTATGCTATTTCCATGTGATACTCTCTTTGAAGTTTCCAGGTTACACATAAATCTCTCTCCCAAGACCCATTATCCGACAGACATGCCAGGAATTAGTGAACGCCAATTCACCTTTTGCAATTGATATCTTAGTTAGCCTCCGGGATATAATGATACTTCGTGGAATGTGGATATTCAACTCCAGTCAAATCAGATAATACCAATTAGCATAAAACCGACTTCGGTTGCCCCTGAAGATGCAACTGAAGACAACTTGAAAATGAGTAACGTTTAAAGGTTCTTGATGGGGTGACACAACGTATAATTGCTGTTGAAGCTTCTTATTGTTTCCACGGTCTACCAACATACTGCTACCGCGACAATTGTCGAGAATGAGAACCTCGATGTGAATGGTTTTTCAAATTCCATCTGGCGAAGAAAGAATATTGTCACTCTCTGCACAAAGAAAACTGAGCTCAACAACGTGGTGATGACATCAAGTTCGAGGTAAAATAAAGGATGCACTGTAGGACTGTTTTAAACTTACTCATCATCATCAGCTCTGCGCACGGATTGAGTGAAATGAAAATCCAACGCAGAACCCCCAATCCGAAAACGAAATCACCAACAAGACTTGTGCATTGTGGTTTGGAAGAACGACAAAAGGAATGAGCCCAACTCCTCCTATAACCACAATCATCCATTGTTTGGTAGTAATAACCGGAGGCGTAAATTATGAGACTTGTTGTGTGAATGGTATGGAAGTGGTATGGCACAGCTATCTACACATTTTCCCATCAGGCTCTAATCAAAGCCCACAGTACCTTAGCCTGGACCCGTGATCTTTTAGCCAAAACCCGCAATGCTTTAGCCATGACCCGTAGTCCTTTAGTCTCGACGCACAAACTTTAATCCCTGTAGGTGACTCAGATCAAAAAGTATCGGAATTTTCTGCGGCTAACGAGTGTTGCAACATATTATTTTCTACGAATCTCGATGTTGCATAGCTAGGATAAGAAACGAGATGTGTCGGTCGCATGCTACCCCACATGTTGATAAGAGGGTATAACCGATGTGCCGGTATCGTCAAACCATTTGACGAATCTCGTACAGGTTTAGTCTTTGTGTATAACATGCGATACTCCTGTGAGTAATAATCTCAAAGGTAACACAAGTGGTACATTGTTTCTCATTCACAAACCCTGAAATTAATCAAACAGCGATACCACAAGAAAGTAAATGCTTTCCGTTCTCCACTTGAAATGGACTCCATTCTTGAAATGTGAGCACATTCACAGTTCGGGGAAAATAAACTCCTGGAGCTGTTCAACGATGACGGCCTGTCGACAAGACTTCTTATGGATCTTGAAATACACGTGCGACCCAATGTTTTGTTGCCTGAGATAGACTAAAACACTCGCGGTTGTCGTAGACATTCCGTGGCGCATCGTGGCACTAGGATGTATGGAATACATGTCTATGTAACAATGCTAACAAATAAATGCGATAGCAAACCGAGAGCATACCACACGCGTTTCGTAAGTTGGAACAGGACCCTAAGAACACCTCTAGGCGGAAGATCGTGCTCCGTTAAACACTCAGTAAATTAAAACAGCAAGTTAATTGTGACAAAAACATGAACAAAAAATGTTCTCGTAGATAGCTTCTTGTAGTCATCGTCACTACACACCGTTCACAAAAGATATCCCCTTTATACACGCTCGATCTGTTAATGTGTCCAAAGAGTTCAATTCAAGTAGAGATATGGAACGGTAAGCATTCACTGTTTCCTGCTGTCACTTTCAGGGCTTGGCTAAAGGAATATGAGTCAAGGCCAAGGGACTGCGGGTTTTGGTTAAAGCTTGATAGGGGAAGGTGTAGAATGAGTGATAGAGAGAAACCAAGGTTCGAATCTTGGGTATTTGGGAAATCTCTATATTGAAGCCGCTGACACGGAGTTAGTCAGGTGATCATTTGAATTTTTTCAAACAAAGCGCTTTCTTTCAATGTTTTAGAATTAAAGCGTGTTCAGGTGTGCTAGTGAAGATCAAAAACACAAGGAATTAAATTGCACCTCTGAAAAATTTAGTAACCTAGCGAAAACAATCGATTGAGGTTTATAACCCAGCCGAATTTTGGTTATGACACCTTGCACTGACCTCTCTCAGGGTTGCCAATCAGGCACACTCGGAAGTTTTTGGCGGGGTTTTGCTTTTGGTATACGACGTTCAAGCAGTTTGCCTGTGACTGGCGTCCGCTTTTTGACTTCGATAGGTGGAGCTGGTGGTCGGGTTTCCGAAAGAGTGGAAATCCCATCCAACGGACTCAGAATAAAACTCGTTTCCAGGCCAGGGGTTGGACTGTCATGGACGGGTGTACTGGTACTGCTATGGCGATTCGGAATTGGTGACTTCGGAACAGTCAATGGAACTTTTCGGCGCGCTAAAATAAAAAGTTGGCAGTTGAGATCGACAAGAACTAGATAATTGGAAAGGGGATCGCAACATGTGAATATAAGGTGTGTGGATAAAAAATCGATATTTTGCTTCCAAACATTTCCATATATTTAGGAAGTTATATACACCTGAATGTTAGTAAGAGAAATGTGGACTCCACAACTATTTGACTCGGCAACATGTAAAAGAACATCTTGTCTTATCACTCAATTTTATTGGTCATACTTCTGTGGTTAATTTCAAACCTTTACCTTAGATTGGTCGATGATCCTTCAGTGATGCATCGGAAATCCCTAAACTATGAGCAGAGGCAGAACAGGAACAATCTCATACGGTATTTTATCAGA